TTGCTATACCTCATTAGGCCTTGATCATGAGTTGCTTGTGTCCAACCTAAGTGAGTGTTAAACCTAAGTGATAAAAGAGGTCACTTATGGTTATGATCAAATATAAGGTGGAACTCCAAGAGAAGTCTTACCAAGATCTAAGGAGTGTCCAGAAGCTTATGAGAAGCTATGTTGAGGTACAAGAGGAGATTACATTGAAGATTGAATATATGGGAGGAGTCTAGGAGGTTTGGGAAGATGGTACAAAGTTAGGGTGAAGCATGTACGAATGACCGTACGAATTGTACGGACCGTACATACATGGCTTAACTAAAACTTCACAATTTCCTCATAAAACCTCATTTTATACTTGTGCAAAAATAGGGTCTAAAGTGTACGGTCATGAATCCGTACACCACTCTATCTAGACAAGTCTTGAGCTACAATGCAAGGAAATGATCATGTAGAGATGAGCCAAAGGAAGGAAGATTCAGTTGGCATCTTCAAGATGCTCAAGGAGCCAATCAGGCACAGCCCTTCCCCTCTTCCCACACGGATCACTCTTGTTCACATGATCAGTCCACTTGCAAGCTATGGACAGGCTGTCCAAACGTGTAAAGCATCTGGTACAAGTATTTTGAATTTAGGCTCCTCCACCTTTTGACTACACATGCTTAGACTAGTAACTTTGTCAACCCTTGTATCTGATTCCTCTTTATATTTCCTTGTATGGTCGAAATAAACATTAAGGGAGTTGGGGTTTTATCTCTCCACTTCATAAACTTGGTTATTAAATCTCTAATCTCTTGGATACTTTAATCTGGTTACATAAATCTCTTATTCTCTGATTCTTAGTCTCTGGTTACTTAATCTTCAGTCTCTTAGTATCCTATTCTCCTAGTGTCTCTCGCCATTCTCACTCTTTCATAAAGTCTCTCTCATTCTCATCCATTGTTAACACCAAACAAGATCTCATCTCTGGCCCTTGAGGGCAAGTTCATCACAAACACAACCTGTGCTCTGAAAATCAAATAGATGGTAGGATCAGTGGTGTTTGGCCTCAGCATCTCAAGTTCATACCACAGCTGGCTGTACTTCCCAAGATGATTGGTTAGATTCATCTCTTCTTGTTGCAAGTTGTTGATGACTCTCTTTACTTCAAAGATCCGGGTCAGATTTGAAGTGTTGCTATAGACCTTTTGCTAGGTTTCCCAAAGTTATTTTGCGGTTTCATAGTGTGAATAGGCTTCCATGATAGGAACATCGAGTGAGATTTGTAAGATAGACAGCACCATAAGGTCCTGCTGGCCCCATTTTCCTTCATCTACCTCTTCAACCTCCTCGCCATTTTCTCCTTCACTAATTTGCTTTGGTGCTTCACCTGTGGTGATGTGCTCCCATAAGCCTCTTCCACCAAGGGCTGTTCTAGTTAATCTTGACCAAATGAGGTAGTTTACCGCCTTTAAGGTAACTAGAATCACCACTGGTTTGTTTTTGAAGTTGTACTCCATTTCAAAATGCTATTATCCAGTGGGTAAAAGAGTTTTTCTTGAGATTTTGGAGATAGTAAACCGAGAGAATGAAAGAGAGTAAGGTTTAGAGTAGCTTTGTGGAAGTAAAAGAAAGGTTCAGAAGCTTCAAGCTCTGATACCATGTAAGTTTAGTGAAGAACAAATGAAGAACAAGAGAGAGTGTTTGTTTGATTCGTGAGAGTAAGAGAGAGAGTGCAGATTGTTGTTTGTAACGAGAGAGAGTAGATGATGAAACCCCTGGTGAGGAGATTCTTTTTGTCCCTGATTCTTTGAAGGATGATCAGATGGTTTGAGAGTGTTAAGGGTGGATTTTGATTGTTATAGATGGTTTGATGGGATGATCTTCAGAAATGATCTATGGATTGATCAACACTTGTGTAGATGAATCAATGATTAAGAGAATGAACTCTGTTTTCCGATCAAAGACAAAGCTTATGGAGAATGAACTCTTTAGCAACCAGTGTTCAAAGATGAACAAGGCATTGACAAGTTTAGAGAGAGTTTTTAATAAAAGAGGTGAATACTTTATTCAGAAACAAACAAGAGTATATGTAGAAGAAAAGCAAACCGAAAAGTCCTAAAATTATAGAAAAATAAGAAAAACTTAATTAAACCTTAAACTGTTTTGAAAACTAAATTATTAATTATTTTGGCTGCTTCTTGACACTAATTTCGTTGCTGGATCATCAGATAGAGAGAATGGACCCTCAACTTGTGTATTGATCTTCTTTTCGATTGAGAACGTCCTAACTTGTCCATCAGTCTGATCCACCTTTCCACCTTGTTTCTCATGTTTTTAATAGCCAAAATAAGCTCATTATGCTCCATTCCAGCCTCTGGTTCATCTTCAAGCTTTCCATTCATCCATCCCGGTTTATCCTTTGTTCTGCATAAACCCTTTTATGTTTTAGAGTGTGTGTACACAAGATCAAAAGAAATCAGTCTGTTTTGTGTAGGAGCAAAGAGATTAAGAGAATAAATAGAGAGAAACTAGAGAGAGAGACTTAGAACTCCATTAATTCATTACTGATGAGGTTTACAAGTATATAAAGAGAAAGCAAGAAAGGTATTTCGAAATACATAAGCATGTGTAGTCAATGGACACGCTGGAACTCCTTTTGAAATACCTAGCTGTGCTTTCTCACATGCTTGCAACAGTGCTAAAGCATTTTCTCCTTTCCAGCACCATACAGGCTGTCAATGTGCACCATTATCCTTTCATTATCCTCTTCCAACGTCTCTCTTAGGATAAGAAAGGAATAACATCAGGGAAGCTCTTGTTTAACCCATCCTGATAACTTCTTTCCCTTCACCACAGTAAAAACAAAGTTACTATGGTAAATCTCGGAAGTTATTGCCTGCTCCAAATCTCTTCCTCTATCAATGTGTCAACTCATTATCACCTCATCTCAACACTCCCCTTTAAACTTGACCATGTGGAACAAGTCAAGCTTGGATTGCCATGAGATCTTCCCTCATTAAAAACCTCACCAAAGAAAAATCCAATGGGATAAAACTTTGATGAGGGAAAAAGAGTGGAGATCTCATGAAGAGGGGATCAGCTCCTATGAGTAAGATCAATGAGTCAAAGTCTGGATAGTATGGACTCCATTGTTTTTAATCTTGCTACCTTAGTAAACGCATCTGCAAGCTGGTCTTCACTTCTTGTATAACATGGCAGAATCCCCCCCCCCCCAAGATAATCATCTGTCTCACTTTGTGACAATCTACTTCTATGTGCTTCGTTCTCTCATGGAAGACTGAGTTAGAGGCAATGTGAATAGCTGCTTGATTATCACAGTGCATTGTCATGGTAGTAGAATGCTCAATCTCTATATCCCTTGATCCACACCAACTCATTTGTCAGCTTCAACATGGCTCTATACTCAATTTCAGCACTAGAACATGAGATAACCTTCTGCTTCTTACTTTTCCAAGTAACCAGATTCCCTCCAATAAATGTACACTACCCACTAGTTGATCTCCTATCCACTCTATCTCCTGCCCAATCAGCATCACAATACCCAACCACTTCTGTGCTGCCATTACAACCCATCCAAACTCCTTGTCCCGGAGAGCTAGTCAAATACCTCAATATCCTATGAACCATTTTCCAGTGATGTACTTTGGGTGCCTGCATATGCTGGCTCACCTAGTTCACAGCATATCAGGTCTGGTGATTGTTAGGTAGATCAGCTTGCCAACCATCCTCCTATACAGCTTAGCATCCTCAAATAACTTGTTCGCTTCAAACTTGTAATATATAGAAGAACTCTATGTTTTTAATATGTACAGTAAAAAGTTTATAAAAATTGTAAGCAACTCAAAGTTTAAGGGGGAAATCATATTTGAAACCCAAAAATTATTTGTTCATACATATGTGTAAAATGTCACCATGGCTATTATTAAACAAATACAGAGAGTGAATAATACCCATAGCTTCATATGGTTACTTGATAAATTATTATATTTTATGGTTATAAAACCAAAGTTCCCTAAAAGAAAACATATCAACATATATAAACTGCTAAAAACATAAGCCCATTAAATTATCTTAATAATAGATTTCAAAATTTTACCTAAATGTAGCAAAGCCCAACTTGTCTATTGTGATAAAATAGTAATCACAATCATTTACATAAAGTAAAATTAAACCTCCTAAAATAAAAGTCCATGCTAATCAATGTGACTAATGTATATGAATTTTACGTAGGTTACCCATAATTTCAAATAACTTTGAGATCCATTAGGATCAGGCCGGCTCAAACTTATGACAGATCCTGTGGGATAATGAAAAAAAAGTCTTAAAAACTAGATTTATTTTAAATCCTTTATGTAAATAAAGGCTTTTTTAAGTCACACGTGTTCTTATGGACATGTAAATATGGGCCCTTTAAATTCCAGGTCTCATGTATAAATAGGGGCCCTTTAAACTTCAGGTGTATTTAAACCATCACGTGTTTTTCTTCATCAAAGAGAAGAAACCTGATTTTTTTGCTTCAGACTATTCTTTTACCTGCTGTAATATTATGTTCCAGAAAAAGAAAATTTCCAAATTTTGAGCCCTTTTCTTGTAAGAAAAACTAAGCAAAATTTTAGGACATGTGCATTTGCACTGTCCGCACATACTTAGAACCGGCACTGATTAGGATGTCACATTTGTATGAAAAATGTGAAGATTTGATATAAGTAAAAGAATGCATGAAGATCCTATCATACGAGGACGTGGTGTTTTCAACTAACTATTTTCAACTGGTGAAGATAAAGTATGCACTAAAGGAATGTTTAATTTTCACTACACATTTGGATTAAACAACGTGAGGAGTTGTTCATTCAATTCACTTCAGCATTAAACATATTTTGAGGGCAAAAAAACATAATGGCTGACAAGCTTTCATGAATTGCGCACACTTAGTATTACTATTGATTTATGTTGATTTGATTCCACTGAGCTGGCTTCAGATTCAGGATCTTTGTATTTTAGCATAACTTGTGCTGAAAACAAATAACTTTGAGCTTCACTCAAAAATAGACAAACACAAGCTTTTGTTTTTTTTCTGTTTTCACTTTAAAGGTAGTTTTTTTCTTTTCACCTTAAAGTTACTTAGTTGTCCATATAATATACAAAATTAATATATAATTGTAACTTCATCGAGTGCAGCTCAGTCAGATCTAATCAGATCTCACCAACAATGCTCAATGCCAACATTCTCCCCGGCCTTTTCCTCATCTTTCTCCTCTTCACTCTCTCCTCCGGGCTGACCCCTCCGGCACCAGAACCAGAGGCCGCCGATGGACCTTCTTCTCCGACGAACTGTCTAGTAAGTATGCTAAACGTATCAGACTGTCTCTCGTACGTTCAGGTGGGGAGCACCGAGACTACGCCAGAAGCTGCTTGTTGCCCGGAGCTTGCTTGGATGGCTCAAAGCTCTCCTGAGTGCGTCTGTAATCTGCTGGGCGGCGGCGCATCACCACGTTTCGGAGTCAAGCTTGATAAGCTGAGAGCTGAGGAACTTTCTTCAATTTGCGGTGTGAAAGCTCCGTCGCCTAGTTTGTGTTCAGGTACTTTTACTCTTTACGTGCACCGACTTTTTCTATTTTATTGGACCGTCCGATTTAATTGAATTCAATCAAACGGCTTCAGTTTACTAGCTATGCATATGAGTGACCGTCCTTTAATTTAACGCAAATAAAGCATCATATATGATTGTGGTGGAAATGGATTAGTCTAGGCCTGGGCATTCGGGTAGTCGGGTCGGGTCCGGATCTTTCGGGTCTAGGAGTTTAGGACCCGATAGGGTAATTTCAAATTTTCGGTTCCGGGTCGGTTCGGGTCATACCGGGTTCGGGTCGGTCGGGTCTTAGATAGTTGGACCCATTCGGGTAATTAGAATTTATCGGTTCGGATTCGGTTCGGTTCCGGGTCGGGTTCGGTTCGGGCTCGACCTAAAAAATACCTTAATATACAAAAAAATATCTGAAAATAATTATATATCCAAAAATATTCAAAATTTTATTCAAAAATTATGTTTTTATTATACTCAAATGTGTATAAATATTAAACTATGCGAGAAACAACAACAATTCGTTTTCTCCTAGTGGTTGACCCCCTTACTCTATAGAAACAACCCGTCTTCGACTCCCCCTCAATGCATTTTATTTAATTTACATTATTAATTCGGGTACCCATCGGTTTTCGGGTTCGGTCCGGGTCGGGTCCAAGATCCGCGGGTCCTCTACAACAAGACACTACAAGAAAAGTGATATATTAAGACGAAATTTTTAGTCACAATTGACGATATTCCGTAACAATGTTGACATTGTGACGTAATTGTGATGATTTGAGAACAGTTACAATAGGCACGTCACAAATGAATTTTAGTAACAAAAATGTCACTGTGTTTGTGACATATTTATTGGTAACAATTAAGTCACACATAGCAACGACATACAAATGTAACAAATCTGTTACAGTTACCAACTAAAAAATATGTCACAAAATTGTCATATTATGTGACTCTCAGATCGTCTTAATTCGGTGGTTTATTACAACGAAATTTTAGTCTTACACTGTCACAAATAAAGACTAAAAAACAATCACAAATCTGTCTCATATAAGAATATTTTGTATTCACAAATTTATCCCCTTTATCACTAAAATATTGTAATAATCAGTGTTTATTAGTTAAGATTTGCCATCTCAAAAATTTATCACAATCTTTCAGTAATATATTATCAAACTATATATCGTTATAAAAATATATGTTGTTACATCTTGTTAGCCAAATTACATTTGTAGCTATTCATTATTATTATTTTGGTATGACTAAAATATACACAATGAAGAAATATAAATAAATTAAGGTAAAATATAAACACTGTTGATGCCCTGGGATATATCAAAAGTGCTTTCAGCTTCCAGCGTCTGATGATCTTCTGATAATTATTGCTCAAAAAGCAAAACTATGGAAAATTCTTTCTCAGATTGACCCGGATTTCTTAAAACAAACTTATATTGTAAGTGTTTTCTTTTTTTCCTCCATCACCAGGCCCTTCGTCTTATTGCTCAAGTCAAAGTATTATCTTTTCTCTCCTTGGACAATGGTTCTTCGTTTCTCTCCCCTTAGGCATCTTCTCTGTGGAAAACACACCACCACAACGTAGCGTGTATCAGTGGGGATCAACTCTCTTTTTCTCTCTTAAGCGGCTGCAGCCTTTTTTTTTTCTTTTAAGGGTGAACGAAAGTGTGCATACGGATATATAAACACATATGCCTCTGTTTTAGGGTTTTTAGGGATAATGGATTTTATTTGGGCTTTAAAGATTAAGATATAATTTGTTTTACTGCCATAAATTTATAAAGTCTCTTGATTTATTTATGTGATATTCATTTATATATAAATAAAAAGGTTAGTATATCACTTTTTTCTTTTTGACATACATTTTTAATTAGTTTAGTTATGGATACATTAAAAATATTTAATCGATATACTTATGAAAAATGTTAACAAAATGTGTTATGTTTTCTTCTCCAAAGAAGATATATATATATATATATATATATATAGAGATATTTCAGTGAATTTAAAATTACAATTAATGAATTTATTCATAGTATCTTTATAAACTGAGACTATCCCATTCATAAAAAAAAAAATCATAAAATTATGTGACAGACACATTAGAACACAATATTGTCACATTTTTTTACAATTGTTTTTTTTGTCCCAACATTGTAACTAATTGTGACAAAAGTTGGCTACAATTTAAACAGTTACAATATTGTGACAAAACATTTACTTATTTGTGACATAAAATTTTAGTGGCAATATCGTATCACCAGTGTCACAGATTTGTGACTCATATTACTAGTATCAAAATTTAGTCACAATATCTCAATTTTCTTGTAGTGAGACCCGATAGGGTAATTTGATCGGGCCGGTTCCTACCCGGACCTGGTTTTTCGGATCGGTTTCGGGTCGGGTCTTCGGGTCCGGGTAAAATGTCCAGGCCTAGATTAGTCTGTGTGTATCGTAAATTCTATTCTTAATTTCTGAAATATTATATTTAGTTTTTGAAACTAACTATAAGATTCAAATTTTGACATATAATTTTACTTACTCCATAGAGATTCACATTAGCTGAAATTCATGGCCTCACATCCTTATCATTATGATGGATGGTTTTGTATCATCCTAATTTCTAGTGTATACAGAAAGACCTAAGAGAATTAATTGTGTTACATGTCAATAAAATTCACTTTATTTTTTTTGGCACACATTCATTTAGAACTCTAGATAATTGAAGGAAAAATGATATATCGGAAGTAATTCGTAATATCGTGCAACTGAAACTAAAGTACAGAAAAAGTCATGTGGTGATTATAGCATTAGTGAACACATAATGGGGTCCATGGACTAAGAGAATATGCGTGAGAGGCACATTATATGTGGGCACCCGCAGCATTATAAATGGTATCCGAGTTGGTTAGCCATCTCGATTTTTATCCGAGAGGAGTATTGAGAGTAGTCATGCTGTGCATGCAACGAGAGTAATATACATCTTGATTTCTTGTATATGTGGAAAGACTTAATATTATTGATTTGGTTACCTATGTTACCAAAGTACGGTTACCTTTTCGGGCACACATCCAATTAAAACTCTGAGTTAAGTGTGCTTATACCAGAATAGTTAACGGATATGTGACATATGGGGATGTGATTCACACTAGCGTGTGCGTGAGATTAAAGCATGATGAAGGCCAGGTGGTTATTTTAGGGTGTGGGAACCGAAATTCGAACTATCAATTTCCGTTGAATTAGGAAAGTTAGGAAACCCCAATTTCCTAAAGCACCAGAATATCTAAACAACCACATGTCAAGCAATCAGAAACACGAAGTAAACATAAGAAAAATGTATTAATTGAAAGAAAGAGCAAAAGAAGTCTAATTCTGAATCTTTGTAAGAGCGTTACAACAAGGTAAGAGCCTTGACTGCAAGAGTTGTTGACGAAATTCCCTAGATCTAACAACCTTAGACTGCAAAACCCTAGTTGAGTAGCAGCTCAATAACAAAAACAGAAAATTGCCTAAAAGAGTTTCTCTTCTAAGTGGTTTAGACATACCTTTTTTTGCCTCTTGTCGAGTTTATCTCCTTTTCGGAAATCCTTCATTTTTCTCGATCATCATGATTATCCTCAAAAACCATCCATTTATCTTCGAGACTTCACTTTTATCTCCTTCTGCGGACAATAAGTAATCTGTCATGATATCTTTGGGCTGGACTTAGTTTTAAAATCATAAGTGGGCTTTTATCGTGTTTTAGGATTTTTCAGGCCGTTTTATAGTTCTAAGCGTTTTGACTAGTTTACAGAAATCGTCTTTGATACGACGCCGTTTTTTGTAAATTACAGTAAAACCTCTATAAATTAATATTTGATACATAAATAATCTTTATAAATTAATAAATTTGCCAGTGCCAACAAGGACCGGTTAAAAATTTGACACAAAACGATAAAATACTCAGATAAGTTTTTTTTAGAAATTTCTATGTAAATATATGGTCCCATTAAAATTATGAATTAATAATTACGTGTATACATATTTTATATAAGTAAGAACATATCATTATATTTTTTGTTTTATATTCACAGTGGAATTCTCTTTATATTTTCTTAACATTTATTATATTTTTTATGAGATTTGGTAATATTATGTCTAAAATCACATTCCGATTATATGCAATAAATATTATATACATAAAATAATATAATAAAATTGGTAGAATTTTTTAGAAAAAAGTATTTTAAAATAAAAATATCTAAATAACGAAAACTTTGTAAATTAATATCATTATAAATCAATAAAGTTAAAGTCCCAACATTTTAATTTATGGAAGTTTTACTGAAGTTCAAATTACTCGTATAGTCTAGGCAGCCTTGGTGTTATGCTTACCATTGCTGTTTTACACGATTAACTTGAACTCATACGAGAAAACAAATCTTTGCGGTTTTTGTCGTAAAGTTCCAATGGTAACTCCGATCGAGATGAATCGAGAGACGGGTTCGACTACGTTTCAGAGTATGATCGAGCCAAGGGCTTTAGTGTCATGTCCTACTCGCCACCGGGCGAGTTGGATGGCTCGGTCCAACTCGCCTGGTCCCGAGTTGAACATTTCGTCATACCCGCCATTAGGCGAGTTGGAAGGTGTGGTCGAACTCACCTGGTGGCGAGTTGGACGGCTTGGTTCAACTCGCCTGGTGGCGAGCTGGACTTTGTATCTTACTTGCCACCGGGCGAGTTGGATGGTGCGGTCCAACTCGCCCAGTGGCGAGTCGGAAGTTGCGTATCCGACTGCTAGTTATAGTTATTGGTGTTTCAAGTATTCAATCTTTGATTTCATAAGAACTTGTTCGAGGAGCGAAGGATCCTCTCGACGCGAACCTCCTCTTTTTTTTTTTAAATCGTTTGAGGTCTTTTTTAATTGTTTCTTACTTTGTTACGAATCTTTTGTTACTTCGTGTTCTCGTTTTGATACTTTCTCCAAAGACTTTTGGTCGTTGATTCCATCGTAACCGATTTTGATCCCAACAGTTAGCCCCCAGCTCGTTATCATCGTGGTGTTTTTGCCAGCGGCCAGGCCAGTTAGGCAAGTTAGGTGGATTAGGCTGAATTCAGTGACCAAAAGTCCAAAGGTGATTATTGAATCCCTTTGTCTATAAGTATGTGGAGTAAGTTTTTAAACTCTTTATTTGCTTATCTCCACAAGAATCAATCCAAGCTAGAAAATTTTTTTGTCTCCTTTATTGTTCTTAATCATGTCTTTTGGAAAGAGAGTTTAGGGAAATGCCCGACCTTCTTGTTTCGATACGAGTGTCTTAGACTCGGCCAGGCGCAAAGTCATTCCCAAACCTGAGTTTTTGAAATATCGCGTTAGTTGCAAGGAGGCTAAGGCGTATTGGGAAGCCACGTGCGTTGTGCAGGCTCCTCCGTGTGATCAGTGGGTTCCTCCGAGGCCTTGTTTCAAAAGAATCCAGGGTAAGAGCTCCCTTCGTTCTTTCGAGTAAGTGCGGCGTATGTGTGAAGTGCCAGACTTGGTTGTGTTTCGCCTCCTCAAGGTTACTTCACGTGCTATGAAATCTATCCAGCTCGGCTGCAACACCTTATCTGGACTCTGGTGTTGAGCTACGAGCGGGGCATGATTCTTGATACAGACTATATTTTGGCTTTGTTGATGCTGATAGGAAAGGACGGCATATGTCGCATAGCCCCTAGGAATAACATGGCGATCATTGATGTGTTTGCCTTGAATTTCCATTGACTGGAAAGGAAGTACATTGCTAGAGAATCTGTAAGGAAAGTTGGATCCCCATCTTTAGGAGTGAATGGGGTCGACGAGGTATTTTGACCATGAGTCCATTGATTTGTTTACTCCGAAGATGTTTACACGGTCACAGATCTCCTTCGCGGTGGTCAGTTCTTTTGAGGATACTTTTCTTCGGAAAACGAGTTTGTCTCGCAGTTGCGTATCACTATTCTCGTGTCCAACCGAACGTATCAGTTGAGGAAGAGTCGGTGCCAAGCATTGATGAGTTCACGAATTATGATGTTCCAGTGGCGAGGGAGAGGTTGAGGTCTCCGAAGGACAAACACGTTGCTGTGGACACATACCAAGTGTTCGAAAACCTCCTGGACGGATAAACTAGTGGGGGTGCCTTTAGACGATGTTATGCAGAGCGATGTATCACAGTTCACAAAGGCGTCGAGGATGGTCAACGAGGTTAGTTCCCATCTTTAGACTTTTCCGATTTATCCATTTAAGTTTTTTACTAGCTTGGAAGCGATTTTTTTGTACGCAAAGTCTCCTTGTTAAAAGCGAAACTCTAGATGCGAGCAACACAGAGGCTCGCATGGCTCAGTTTAGGGCTGAGATGGCGGAAAAGAAAATTGCTCATTTAAAGGAAGAGTTGTCTGCGAGTTCTTCCTTTGTCAAGGACTTTGATGTCAACGAGGCTCGTCGTGCTCACTGACGTGGAAGGAGGGAAGTTGCTGAGACGGTGAATATCCGTCTCAGCGTTTTGCGACCGATCTGGTGGGGATGAAGGATGCATACAGAGATGTCGCCGACTATCGTGAGTGTGATGGTGTCGTCGGCGGGTTACATCTTACCCATGTCATGGGTTATTTTTACGAAGCAGAAGTGGACAAGCAAACGAGACGAATCAACAAGAGAGTGAACAAGCAGTCCGTAATTCTCGATATTGAGGCAAGGATTTCAGAGCAGTGGGCTCCCATTCCAGTGTCTCCCAATTTTATGGACTTCGGACCGGAGATTCCTGATGGGGATGGCGAGGTGGATCAGTCCGAAGCGGACG